CGCGGGGGAGCGGGCGGGGCGGGGGCCGGCTCCGCAGTCATGTGCCCCGGAGCGGCGGTCGCGATTCGGTCCGCGCGAGCCGCGGCCGCTCCCGGCGGTCCCCCAGTGCTTCGGCTCCCTGAGCCGGGCCAGGCCCAGCCGCGCCCCCGCCCCCTCGCCGCAGGCTCCCCCGTTACCCCGGAAAATCGCCCGTCCTCCTTGGCTCATTCACTTACTCACCCCGCAGAAACGTACTGCGGGCCTACCAAGTGCCGAGCTGGGGAGTCAGGATGAACACGACATTGCCGCTGCTCTAGACGGGCTCACAAGTTGGCAGGGACACTGTGACAGCAATTACAGCGCAGTGTAAATAAGTGCTTTCACGAGGTGCGGGCTGAGATCTGTGCCAACCAGCAGATTCTGCCCGGGTGACCTAGGACCCCATAATTGACCTGGGTCTTGGAGGATGTGTAAGTTTGTCATTTTGGGGGTGTGTACAAGGCAGGGAGGAGGCATTTCGAGAAGAAGAAAAAGGTGTGGTAAGACACTTGGGGTGAAAGAGCAAGATTGTAAGAGGGAAGAAGGGAGTTCCTTTTGACTGTAGGTTCAGGGGTGCAGAGTGTGGGTTAGGAGGTGTTGAGGCCCCTTGGGGTCAGACTTGGAAGGGCTCTTTGTATCCCCTGGAAGAGTTGAGACTTTATCCCTCAGCAGTGGGAGTCAGCGAGAAGCTTCAAGCAGGTGACCCTGACGTTGTTCCCATCCGCTTTGCTCACTGTTATGTCCCAGGCACCCAGGCTAGAGCTGGCATAGAGCAGGGACTCAATAAATATTAGTCGAATGAGTGTCAACTATATGCTAGGCCTTGGCTAGGTGCTTACACGTACCCACTTATTTAATACCCACAACAGCCTTGTGAGTAGATGGCTGTCCCAGTCTCCCCAAAGCAGTGCCAGACAGGAGCACTGTGCAAGAAATTTATGAGGGAATATGGACAGGGAGCTGGACCTGGGATGCAGGTATGATCTCTGTGAAGGAGAGAGTCAAGCAAGAAAGGTTAGGTGGAAGGATGCAGCACTAAGAAAGTTCAGCAAGGCTGTAGGAGGTCCTTGAGCCAAATTGGCCTGTCTCAGGAGTCCAGCATCTCCTTGGAATAGGCCTCTTATGCTTAGTCATGGACCAGGAGCAGCCCTAGGACCTGGCTTCTGCACCAAGCTGGGGATGAATATCAGAGGATAGATTTCAGAGCTCCAGCAGCTGGGACAGGGCCATTGGTCAGTTATGCTCTGCACTAGAAGATCTGAGAAGTTCATTTTCTTGGCCACTATAGTAGTAGTATTGCCATGTTATACACAAGGAAACCATGAATCCGAGAGGTAAGTAACCTAACAAGTTCACCCAGTTGCTGATAGTGGATCCCGCCTGGACCAGAATGCAGGCCTGATGACCTCTAAAGCCCTCACTTTTTCTACCCTGTGCATTGCTGCCTCCCAGCTGCCATCAGTGAGAATCTGGGGACAGGGAGTTCAGCTGGGAGACTTTGGTAAGGACTTGGTGAGATGCTGTGATGTATTAAAAATGGTGGCAGAGTGACATCAGCATCATGGCGGAATGAGCTTTCCCGTAAACTCTTCCCCCGATAAGATACAACAAAAGGGACAGTCACAGACCAACAATGGACTCCTAGACAGCAAAAAGGAAGATCGGAAAGATCCACACTGCCACACATCTGAGAGTGGACGTGCTGGGGCCCCTGGAGGAAGTGGGGAGAGGTAAGGAGAACTCCTCTCCCTCCCCATCAGATCAGCAATCCGGGTCCCCGCGGCTCCCAGAGAGGGAGGGGCAGCCCTCTGCAGGGAAACCGTAGCTCTTCAGGCTCTCTCAGCCAGTGGGAAACTCCCACACAGAGGACTCAGAACTGCTGCAGGGGTGCCATCAACATCTGAGCACTCCAGGAGAGCAGATAATGGAGGGGCGAGCGAGAAACCCCCCACGCCAGGGACCCAGTGGGCAAAAGACAGAGCTCCCCACCCCCCACCCCACATGCCCAACACTGCAGCTCAGCCGACCAGACCAGGCAGAGCAGCCCAACTGATCCCAGCGAGCAGCCGGGGCAGAGCACAGGGGGCTCAGATTACACAGCTTTTAACCACCACACGGTGGCGGCAGGTGAAAACTGCAACCAGATACTTCCAGGATGAGGAAAAACAAAGCGAATACAGGAACCACGATGCAAAGGTACATGAAATCACCAGACCAGAAGGAAAATGACAAGCACCCAGAAACCAACCCTGAAGGCACAGAAATCCATAACCTAAATGACAGAGATTTCAAAATAGCTATCATAAAAAAACTCAATGAAATACAAGATGACACAGAGAAACAATTCAATGAGATAAGGAGTTTCCTCACAAAAGAGATTGAAATCATAAAGAAAAACCAGTCAGTACTGATGGAGATGAAGAACACAATGGAGGAGATAAAGGAGTGGAATCTTTAAAGAACAGAGCTGACATTATGGAGGAAAGAATTAGCATTATAGAGGATAGGAATACAGATATGCTCCAGATGGAGGAGGAGAGAGAACTAAGACTAAAAAGAAATGAAGAAAGTCTCCGAGAAATATCTGACTCTATTAGGAAAT